TGCGCTCGTGTGTTTTGGGGTTTTAATCTGCGCTCGTGTGTTTTGGGCGTGTAGCTGGAGCGAGAGAGACTGGACCTGCAGTCACAGGTGCGTCTGCTGAAGGAGAGCTGGGAGGCTGCAGAGGAGGTGAAGCTGAAGTCTGCTCTGCTCCACAACGCAGAAGAGGTCGCCCAGCAGAGAGCAGAAGCTAATGCTTTGAGGTACAACTTGTCTGTACTTCATTCATCATTTTCCAAGAGCATCTTTACTAAATAAATACCACACGACGCTGCATCGATGTTTTCCTTGAATTTTGTTCAAAATGTTCTGTTTCAGTTTGAATTTAATATGAGCACTGCATAGACAATTCTCTCTGAGCAGATATGAAATCTTCTTCCTCTGAGCCTATCTGACATTGGTTTGCTGCTACAGTAACTGTTTTTCCTCCTGCGTGTTAGGAGGGCTGACAGATTTGTCATGTGTGTGTGCAGGCTGCTGCAGGAGCAGGCGCTGTCCGACACCCAGCGCAGGCTCTCTGTGAGCATGAACGAGCTGCATGCAGCCCACCAGCACATTGAAACTCTCCAGGAGAGATTAGGTGAACGTGCTGCTCCACATGATTCTGTCTGTGGTCCTTTTTGTCTGCTTGGCAGTTCATTTATTTTCTTGAATCCTGTCAGGGGAAGTGAGTCATCAACGCTCCAAACACAGAGAGGAAGTAGCTGCCCTTCACACTTCAGTCTGTGCCCTGGATAGAGAGAAAGACGCCCTACAGGATGAAGTGGATCAGAAGACTGAAAAGCTAGTTGTTCTGCAGGAGGACCTGTCAAAAAAGGTAGCCAGTTAAGCAAACCTCTCTCAATTTATACTTTTTTAAACACCTGTTGAAAAGAGGACGTGTTACGGTTTACTCTGTCTGTCTGTAAACATTCGTTTGTCCCGCCCCAAAACTTCTGATCTGCTTGAGAGAATTTAGAAAAACTTCATACTTGTGTGCATCATGATCATCATCATACTTCATACAGTGTGTCACATACACTTTTCACATCCCAGCTTCAAGGTCAAGGTCACAAATCAAGGTCAGATAGTATACAAGGGCCATAACTTCTTATCCACTCAAGATAATTTAATAAAACTTGATACAAATTTGTACCACCATTAGATAGGTGTTGCGTAATATTTTCATCGCTCCAGCTTTAAGGTCATTGTCACAAATTAAGGTCAAAGCTTATACACAGTCTTTGATTGTCCAGGCCGTTGCTATAGATTGCTATATAACCGTTTGTGCGTTAAATAATAAGTTCACGTTTGTCCTGATGCATGCTCAATAATCCAGGTAGAAAACTAACAAAGTTTAGTCGGGTCCTCTGGATGGATTAAAAAAATAAGTAAAAATTGTTGAAACGTTTCGTCTTTTATACAAGACTGACAAAATGTCTTGGATAAAAGTCGAAACGTTTCAACACTTATCCTGATGCATGCTCAATAATCCAGGTAGAAAAATCTAAGAAGTTAAGTCAGGTCCTCTGGACGTTCAAAAACAAAGCAAAGGTTCTGGTTGTCAGCAGCAAACTGGTTGATCCACTCTAAGAAGGTGCTATTTATGAGACTGAGCTGAATACAGCACCTCACACTGAGGAAGTCTCTGGATGAGAGACGAAACGTTTCTACATTTTTTTATTTTGTTTTTGAATGTCCAGAGGACCAGACTTAACTTTTTTAGAGGTTTCAACAATTACTTTTTACTTTTTTAATCCGTCCAGAGGACCTGACTTAACTTTGTTAGAATTTCACATTTGGATTTTTTTAATACAACTCGAGTGCTAACTCCCAAAGTCCTCTGCAATAAACAAAAATATGGCCATGTTTTCTTCCCCCGTGCTACAGTACACAACATTATCCAAAATATTTGGCTCCAGCTCGATTTAGCAGTCTACAAACTCAGAAAAGTCCAGACAAACATCTTAATTTATTTTGTGTAACAATACGTGAGGAATCAGTGCTGACTGTGTGTAATGGGGCTTTATATAAGAAGTTAGCGTGAGCTATAACAGTGCTTCTCAATTATTTTCTGTTACCCCCCAGGCAGACAAACATTTTGTGCTCCCAACTCTGCCGCAACTGCAAATAGTATCATTTGTCTATAAAATTGTTATAAGTACACCTGCATAGCATTGTCATTTTAAAATTAAAGAAAAAATATTAATATAGATCAACTTACAATGAAGAATAACTTTATTAACTTTGTTTTGTAGTTTGTAACAGAAACAAATTAAAGTGCATCAATTTGCCTGAAAAAAAACAAACTTAAATCCTTATTTAAACTAAACATTTTTGACCATTTGATACTGAAAAATAAAATATAATCAATAAATAATAATAAATTCAAATTGATCAGCAACATTTTAACTCAGGAGTGTTTTATAAAACACTTTGACCTACAAACCAAAAATGAATAAAACAATTTGTGCTGATTTTTTGAGGAACTCGGGATCAATGATCGCACTCGTGGATAAAACTAAACCATTTTGTCAACGTGAAAGAGGAACGAGGGGCAGGTAACCCTCTCGCTTTCAGGTTACTCTTTGTCTTATGTGTCCTGTGAGTGACGAGCGTTCAGAGCGTCATGAAAACAGCAGCTTCACTCAGGAAGTGAATATATTTTGTTAGCAAAGGATACCGTCCTGACATTTAAAGTCACACTAACAACATTGTGCTCTGACAAACTCATCAACAGAGTTTAGTAACTTTAGCATCTCATCTAGGCATAAACATAATTAGTAAACTTCTTGATCTCTATTTGGTATCGAGGAAAATGATGTAGAATTATACCACAGCTCATTTTACTCATTTCACAGCTCCCTCCGGCTTCTCTGCAGTCTTTTATCATCAAACTGACCCGTTTTTCGAACCGGACTAAAGTTGGTCCTCCTTCCAACCGAATTCGGTGTTCAGTGACTCAGAGAGCCGGACGGGACCGTCCAAAAAAAAATAATAATATTTTGGCCCTGGACCGATCGGCCGCTCCCCCCCCATCGGTCACTCTGAGCGCACCCTGCCGGCCAGGTGACCCCTCGAGCTGGGGAGTCGACGCACGAAGGTCCGGTGTTTTTTTCTCTCTCTCCCTGGACCTCAACGAACTCTTATCTGGACCTTTGTGGTTCTACCTGGTTCCGACAAATATCGCCGGGTGGTATTTCGCTGGTTTTCAGCTGGACTGGCCCTCGTGGTGTTTCCATAGGTGTGGGGGAAGTGTACCTGTGACCCTCGAATTGGACCAGAACCGAATCGAGGTGGCTGTGGGGAAATTCGTCTTCTACAGAGCCGGTCTCAGCTTCAGTGAGCAGCCGTTACTTTTACTGAAGGACGATCCACCTCCGTGGAGTCGTTGTGTTCACCTGGAGGAGACGCTCCGGTGCTTTGAAGCGCCGCCGGACCGGAGCAGAACCGCGCCGCCGGGCTGCCGGACCGGAGCAGAACCGCGCCGCCGGACTGGGCCGCCGGACCGGAGCAGAACCGCGCTGCTAGACTGGGCCGCCGGACCGGAGCAAAACCGGGCCAGGGATATCTTCAGCCTCTTCGTCTCTCGTGCTTGGAGCGCCGGAGCCGAACTGGAGCAGAACCGGACCGGACCAGTTGCCGACTTCAGCCTCAGCCTCTCCGGTCAGTCTCGCTTTTCACCGGGGGTGCCCCGTGCTGTCGGGTGCTGAGAAGCGGAGGAGCAGCGTGGAGGAGCAGCGTGGAGGAGCAGGGCTGCGTGGTGCTCGAGAGAAGTTCGGAGTTTGTATCGGAGCTGCTGCAGGCCTCCATCCAAACTCACCTGGATAATAATTAATTTTATTCCGGATCACGTTGTTGGCCCCTGTTGACCTGAAACGAACTTGGACCATGCCTTTCACTTCAGGAGGATTTTCTGGCAGCTCGCTCTGCTATTTGCTGCGAATTTTCAGTTTCTGTTTCGGCCTGTTGATTCTGGACCCAGCTTCTGTTTCTCATGGGAGCATCCATCCATCCATCCATCCTTCTTCACAGGGGGGCCGGAGCCCCCCTCAGCCTGACTCAAACTGCAGTTGGGCCACCTCGTCGGGTTTGTTTGCCCATTTGAACTGTGACATTTTATGGTCTGAATCTTTTCTGCATCATTCATATTACTGTCACTATTTTCAGTTCTCAGATTATCTGGAGTCACTGAATCTTGTTAATACACCTGAATCTGTCCATCACTGCAACTTTCACTGTTTTTGGGTTCTGAATGATCGCGTCTTCATTAATGTTTCTCATGGTTCGATTATGGGGGCTAATTGTCACACTGTTAACTCCTGTAATTACACATCAGTCACAAAAAAACTCAAGAAAATGTCTGATAATAATGTTGTTATTGCTCTCAGGAATTCAACCTAATCCTGGACCCCCCACTAATTACAGCACACCAAATGACTTTAAAAACGCCTCTGGGCTCCATTTTCTGCAAGAAAACGCTCGTAGCCTTCTGAAAAAACTTGATGCTGTGAAAATCCTGGTCAGTTCTTCTGGGGCAGATGTTATCTTTATTTCTGAGTCCTGGCTCAACAAATCTGTAATGAATAATGACGTGGCAATCAATGGGTTTAACATCTACCGCTGTGATCGTCAAAAAAGGGGGGGTGGAGTCATTATTTACATTAGAGACACTCTGGTTTCAAGTCTTGTGACTTTCAAAACAATTCCAAACCAGTTTGAAGCCTTATCTGTAAACATCACCTTGAATGGAGGCCAGATTTTAACTGTAGTCTGCTGCTACCGCCCCCCCACAGCTTCACCTGAAGCATTAAATGCCATTAAGGAATTCCTTGGTAATTTAAAATTCAAAGAGATCTTTTTGGCAGGAGATCTCAACATTGATTGGTGTAAGTCGACCCCCCTCTGTGACAAATTCAAGGAATGTTGCTTGTCTTTTAATTTAACCCAACTGATCGACTCCCCCACCAGATTAAATAAAAGCCATCCTGACAATTCCTCCATCTTAGACCTGTTTCTAACTAATATGCCTCACAAATTCCCTGGTACAGGTGTATTCGCTGATCTTTTGAGTGATCATTGTGTGACAGTGGCTTTAAGAAATAGTAAACTTCCACCTTCTAAGCCCAGATTAATTAAAAAAAGGGATTTGAAACATTTCTGTGAACAGTCATTCCTCTGGGATCTGTCTCACTTTGACTGGCATCGTATTCTGTTAACTGATGACGTGAACTCTGCTTGGAACTATTTCCATAATAATTTCATTTATTTCCTGAACATACATGCTCCTTTTCGTCAGTTCAGAATAAAGGGACGAGACAGCCCCTGGTTTACTCCAGAGCTAGCTGACCTCCTGCACAGGAGAGATCATCTTTGGGCCGCAGCGAGAAAATCTGGCTCAGACACTGATTGGTTGAGTTTTCGACAGATGAGGAATAAATGTACAACTGCTGTCAAAGCAGCAAAACGCAACTATTTCTTATCTCAGACCTCCAAAAATCTAAATGACCCTAACAGATTCTGGAAAACCATCAAATCTCTCTCAGGCACCCCCCAATCATCTGACCTCCCATCACAACTTCTCGTTAACTCTGCTCCTGTGTCAAATAAGCACGAGATCCTGAACTGTCTCAACAAACATTTTGTTGCTTCTGGTTCTTTATTTGACACAGTAACTAATGGAAAATCAGCCACTTCACTTAATAACCAAACTTCTACAAATCAAATCCCTCCTACAAGTCAATCCTCAGTTAATCCCTCCTTCTCTTTTTCTCCATTCTCAGTCAGTGAGGTCAATAAACTGTTAAAAGATCTTGATCCTAAAAAATCTGCAGGTCCAGATGAACTTCCACCTTATTTCTTAAGGCTGGCTGCTCATATCATCACAGTCCCTGTGACCCACATCTTCAATCTCTCCATAAGACAAAACTCCATCCCAGACACTTGGAAAACAGCCTTTGTTCTTCCTTTGCTGAAGGGAGGTGACCCCACCTCACTAAACAACTATCGACCAATCTCTAAACTCTGCATTTTAGCCAAGGTTCTAGAAAAACTGATAAACTCTCAAATCAAAAATTACCTGGACTCATTTAACATCTTACCTCCACATCAATCTGGTTTCAGGAAACAACACAGCACAACCACTGCTTCACTGAAGGTTCTTAATGATGTTGTTGAAGCACTGGATGCTAAGGATTATTGTGCTGCACTTTTCTTAGACCTGTCTAAATCTTTTGACACTGTGGATCAGAACATCTTGTGTCATAAACTCTCAGAAATCGGTTTCTCAGATCACACCATTGGTTGGTTCTCTAACTATCTTTCAGACCGGAGGCAATGTGTTCAACATAATGGTACTTCCTCCAGTTATTTAACAGTCAACAATGGTGTACCACAAGGCTCAGTCTTAGGACCCACCCTCTTTACAATCTACATACATAATGTAGGTAAAAACATCCCTAATGCATCCATACATTTCTATGCTGATGACACAGTTGTTTATTGTCGAGCTAAAACAGTTGCTAAGGCTTTCCAGCTTCTGAAATCTGCATTTAACATCATCCAGACTGATTTGTTTCACCTCAAACTTGTCCTAAATGCCGAAAAAACCAAAGGGATGCTTTTTTCAAATAGGAAGTTGGTCCCAGCAGTTCTTCCTCCGATTTTATCCTCAAATGGTGTCCCCATTGAGTTTGTTGATTCCTATAAATATTTGGGTATCTTGGTCGACTCACATCTTTCTTTTAAGCTCCATGTGGAAAACTTGGTAAAGAAACTGAAAGTTAAACTGGGTTTCTTTTTCAGAAACAGATCCTGTCTAACCCTGAATGCTAGAAAACGCCTTGTATCTGTGACTTTCCTTCCCTCAATTGATTTTGGTGATATTATTTACATGAACGCTCCTACAAGAACCCTGCAGATGTTGGATGCGGTCTATCATGGTGCACTAAGATTCATAACTGGCTGTGATTATCGTACCCACCACTGCACCCTGTATTCATTGGTTAACTGGACATCATTAACTTCACGCAGACTCTCTCACTGGTACATTTTCATCTTTAAATCACTTCTTGGTCTGCTGCCTTCATACATCTCCTCCTACATGTCTCTGCGTGAGTGCAGCTATGGAGTGCGCTCTCAGGACATTATTACCTGCAGTGTTCCCTCAGTGAGGACTGAACTAGGCAAAAGGGCCTTCTCCTACTCCGCTCCTGTTTCCTGGAATATCTTACAAAAAGATTTGAAGCTCTCGACCTTGACCTCTCTAAGTGGCTTTAAGAATCTGTTGGACTCCTGGCAGGGACCAATGCAGACATGTTCCTGTTTTTAGTTTTATACATTTGTCTCGGAATCTAGCAGTTTTTTTTTTTTTTTTTGGTTTTGTTACCTTTTTCCTTTTAGCCATCCTATTTGTTAAAAAAAAAAAAAAAAAAAAAACTGTAGTATGAGTTTTTATAACTGCTTATTGTTGTTGCTGTTGTCCATTGTTGTCATCTTTCTTTGTTGAAATCAGGTCTCTTGTAAATGAGTCCTCGAGGCTCAATGGGATTTACCTGTATAAATAAAGGTTGATTTTAACATCACCAGATGTTTTACACAAAAACCAACCAAACCAAAAACAACAACTTTAAAGTATGCAGTTCTGAGTCACATGGATGCATTTTGAGGAGATTAATTCTGTTGGAGTGGGTTTTTAATAAATCCTGTATTTAGACTTTGTTGTGAAATCTCCTTTAAAAGCAGTAAACATTTTACTAACAGTAAATACAAACCCTCCTTTATCACAAAATTCCTCTTAATGTTTAGATACAGCTAGACCTGTCGCGATAAACAGTAAATCAATTCATCGCATGATAAATGAAAATTATCGACCTCATTTTCATTTATCAGCTTCATCTTCTCTTCGTGTCTCTCTTTCCACTGAAGACACTGGATGACAAAAGGCTCAACTCCAGTTCTTCACTGACCCCTCCCTTTCTCTGTTCTTTAAAATTCGTTTTAACGTCCAAAATTGTGTTTTTGGATCATTAAAAGCAGCTAAGCTGACAAGCTAAGCTACGAGCTAAGCTAACAGGCCGACCTTGCAAAAAAGCTCCGTCTTGTCGAAGCTCCAAAATTCACGGTTGAAACCGGTGCCTTCGTGTGAAAAGTTGTTTTCTCTGAAAAAAGAAGCTGAGAACTTGTTTACTGATTTTTTTATTAAAAGCTTTGTGTGAAAAATGCTAAAGAGCTCAAACCACACTGAGCGTCCGCCATTTTGAGAACCACAAAAAGAAAAGAGAGCCAGGCAGCCCATGTCACGTCAAGGGACCTCCCTCCCATTTTCTTAAAGAGACGTTTCTCGCTCCCTCACTATCCATCCTTCAGTTCAAACGGTCTTATACTGCCATCACACAAAAATCAACCAACATTTCTTCTTAAATTTGACGATAATTACTAATTATCGTCAAATTTTTAACAATATTATCGTTTTTTGCAAAATTTCTGAGACAATTAATCGCCCAGCGATTAGTTATCGTGACAGGCCTAGATACAACAAGGAGGCACGGCCTGTCAAATACATGCTGTATCTTACAAAGTCAGTTATAATAACAGTTTCCTGTTGTTACGGTGCCTTTCATTTAGCTCAACCCTAAATACAGTCCATGATCAAGAAAACTTTGCACCATAGTCTCTATCAGAAACCTCCTAAATTTTAAACTTTGTCAGACTTTCAGCTACTTGTAAGATGTGGGTTTTGGTAGTTGCAAACTGGGTATTCCAAGTCGTTTTTAAGACGGAATAAAGCTATCACAAGTTCTCCTAACATGTTTTGTGTTAGAGTACAAATGATGTACAGTTCTTTACTGATTCCACAGGAAAAGACCCTTGAAGATGTGAGACTCACAGTGAAAAACATGGACAAGTCCTTAGCGTGAGTACTGTGCCCCGAAGAAGAATGTGATAGAAAGCTAACGGCGGCAAGTCTCAACTTTTTTCTTCACGGATCACATCATTTCAGTCAGCTGCAAGGAGCTTTAAACAGCCGTGAGAGGGAGCTCAGCAGTCTGAGGAGGCAGCTAGATGCATCTCAGGAGGAGCTGAGTGCACTCAGGAGAGGCAAAGAAGTCCTAATCCGAGAGAACCGGAGGCTGCAAGATGACCTGGCCACAATGACCAGGGAGAACCAAGTAATATTACACCTGAATTACTGACAACCTATGATCTTTTGTCATGGGTTGGAGAATAAGGAGAACAAATCACAATTAATGGGAGCTTCTCTTGTTTCTCTGTTGAGACTGTGCACGCAGAAATGGAGGAGGCTTTGCACGAGAAGGACGAGCTGAAGTTGAGGGTTCACTCTTATATTTCTGAGGTGTCCAGGATCGAGCAACTTATGGCTACAAAGGTAAACACAATGTAATTCTACCAGCAGCAGTAATCTCTGAGAGTAACTGCTGACTGTCAGGAGTTGGCCTCCAGGAACAGGAGAACAGGGATCTGCTGGAGAGATTCAGGCTGGCCCACTCTGAGATGACGGAGCGGGAGCAGAAACTGCAGCAGGCTGAAGGTCTTAATAACTCCATCCGCTTGGAGCTGCTCTCCTCGGACACAGAACGCCGACAGCTCCGAGATACAGTCGGACAGCAGGACAGAGAGATTCAACAGGTGACATATCAAATTAACACCTTTAATTATTGCCTGCTGACAGGGCAACCATGTTTTTGCCTGTCTATATGTCTCATGAACAACTGGACAGATGTTAATGACTTCCTCAAAAAATAATCATTAGATATAGATCTACAACTCCTTTACATTTGGAATCCACCACATTCAAGTTTGCAGCTGCAGCTGGACATTACTTAGTCGAGTGCTAATACATCTAGCAAGATTTTACAATGTAGCATGGGATTGTGCTTGATGTCATTCAGTAGCTAGAGCAGCATCCCTTCATCAAAAGATCATTATCCAAAGCGTGGAATAAAAAGCGGTGGATGATATGCATTCCTCTGAGGACTGCTAGGCCTTTTATTGTGGTGAATTTACCGTATTTTTCGCCGTACATGTCGCACCGCCCTATAAGTTGCGTCAGTCCAAACATGTCTAGTAAAGAGGAAAAATCCATAAATGCGTCGCTTCACCGTATACGTCGCATCTATTATGCATCATCGCTGACGTGTCGCGTTTGTTACGCGTCACCGCTGACAACCCGGAAACGTGGGCCAGTGTTGTGCCAACAATTGATGGGCTGCCAAGTGGCAGCCGCGGGAGCGTGCACGGGAGGACTTTAACAAGAATTTAACAAGATTAATACTTAAAAACATTTAAGTGTTTGCTCGACTTTATAGTAAATGTGTGTCTCAGTTAAACTATAAATACACTTTAACGGTCAAATCAGCTGCATTTCAAAAGTATTTGCTGCCTCGGTGCTCTGGGAGCGTGCAGACAGGGAGGAAATTATGAAGGAGGAACGCTGCACATTTCTTCAAATTTAACAAGATAAGCACCTAAAACATTTATTTGTTTGCTCGACATTATAGCAAAGATGTGTCTCAGTTGCACTTTTACTTAATAAATGCACTTCAGTGGTCAAATCAGCTGCATTTCGCCTGGGTGGAGCACGGAATGAAGCTGATTTGACGTTTGCTTCAGGCAGACTACGGTGTCATCTATGAAGCCCATTGTGTCATTAATAGCCACTTTTACCTATTACATGACACAACGGCATGCCATACTACTCGACTGCCATCTAGCAGCTGAAAATGTTAGTGTTCAATATTTTCAGTCAGAAAGAATGAAAACGGTCATATCTCAGACAAAAATTGGTTAATATGGGGAAATTTCATAAATACGTAGCTCTGGCATATAAATCACAGGGCATGCAAATTATGCAACAAAAAAAAAAAAAAACAACAAACGTGACTTAAATAGCAAAAAATACAGTATTTTATTTTGCCCCAGCATCTTAATGTTGCTTTCACTTCATATTTATCTAAGCACACTCAGGCACTGCAGGCTTATGAAGCCCAGGTTTCCTCTCTGGTTCGTGGGATGTCCCAAACAGAAAAGGATTTGCAGAAAGCACAGGAGGAAAATGCTGCTCTCCTCTCGGATCTAGCTTCTGTCAGAGAACTCTGTGTCAAACTGGACTCTGGGAAGGAGCTGACTGCACGCCAGCTCACCTCCAAGAGCATGGACCTGGAGAGGGTGAGGCTCTGGTCTGGACTTTTGTTTTCCATCACTTTTTTCTCTGTTCAGAAAACTTGCTTTGTCTCTCTTAGTGTGAAGCTTTAGTTATATGTCTCTTCATAGTTCTGCTCCCTGTTCTTAGGTCACTGGAGAACTGGAAGATGTTCGCTCAGAGGTAGAGCTCCTGAAGAAACAATTAGCCAGTGAGAGGCTGACTGTGCGCAACCTAGAGATGCTTCTCTCCTCCAACCGGCAGAAAGAGTTTCAAACACATCTGAGCGCCACCGAGAGAGAGTCCGAGCTGAAAGTCCTTCGTGACAAACTCACTCTGACTGACAGCAAAAAGTAAAAATAAACCAAACCAGTTCATTACACTGCAGCAAACCTAATAAACTAACTGCTTCAAATGAATGTATTAAATCATTTTTGTACATTTGCAAAAAGTGCAGAGCATGCCAGAGAAGTGTCCCAGCTCCGTGGCAAAGTGTCTCAGTTGCAGACGGAGATGGACGTCCTGAAACGACAGCTGACCTCTGAGCGCTTTGAACGGTGAGCTCGTTGATCGTTACACTTGTGCTTAGCATGGCAGCCATCTGTTTTCTTTAACAGTGAACTACAGAAAGGTCTACTGTAAGTACAGAAGAGGACATCACTTTTGTTTAGTTCAGGACTTTTATTTTTTTCATTCCACCTTTATTAAACCAGGTAATTAAGAACAAATTCTTATTTACAGAGCTGGCCTGGCAGCACCAGCAGGTACTTGTAGGGTCATGGAAAGGGAAACAATACATTTAGGCAAAACTATAAAATAACAAATAATAACAACGTTATATAATAATATAACGTTTATAATAACGTTTGTCAGTAACAAACGAGGAAATCACAAATTACGGTACATTAACAACAGTTCATTGTTAAAGGACAACAAACGTTACTAAGCATGAAAACATTTGCAAGTATCTTTAAAAATGGCTTTTAAACGATTTTTAAAACTTGAAACTGAGACGAGTGAGGTCAGACCAAAAGTTTTTGAGGCAGAGTCCAGTCAGATGGAGAAGCAGAGGCAAAGGGAGACTTGGTCTTTAGAGTTGTTAATCACAAATACTGAGCATTCGGGTGTTCTACTTCAAAACTGGTGCTAGTTGCAGTGGATTAGTTAAATATGGAGGTGATAAACAAAAGTTACATATGTAACTATGGTTATATGAATCCCGGATTACTGCCAGAGGGCGGTGCTGAAAGCACTGAATGTTCCCTTCGCACATGTGCCGTTCGAGTAGTAATACCAACAGAGTCACAGGCGTGACACAGATGACCAATCAGAAGCTATATAGCCTGACGTCATCCGCGGCTCTGCTTCTACAGAATCTTTTTGCGGAATGCAAGGATTCTGTAGGAGCAGAGAAGCTCTGGCAGTCATCCAGGATTCATAGAACTGTAATTACATACCTAACTTTTGTTCTATTTCATCCCTACTGACCGCCAGAGGGCGGTGCTGAAAACACTGAATGACTAATACCAACGATGTCACAAAGAATCCTGATCACATACCTCACTGAGGAGGCCCAGAGGACCCTTGCAGAAGAACCTGGCCCAGGGGATGGAGAATCAGAATCAGAATAAGCTTTATTATCATTGCACCAAGACACAACGAGAACATGTACGTACAGTCGTCCGAAAGATGGGCGGAGTGCACGAAGCTGCCGACCGTCGGATATTTTTCCCACCAACAGCCCAGTTACTGAGCTGCTGGTGGGAGAAATATCCGACGGTCGGCCTGGTGGCATCACCGTCTCCCTCCACGGCTCCTAGGGGCCGTGGGGGGGCGGTGGCCAGAGTCCCTGGTCCGAACCTGCCCAGCTAGTTGGTGGACCGACTCACGAAAGCTCCTGCCGAGTCTCTGCTGAACTGCACGAGGGTAAAGACCACCCGGCCGATTGTGACCCCGAGGCGGCGGTTGAATGCCGGGGTCAGCCAATGGTCGCCTTGGATGCCATGGAGGTGGACGGGGCATCGCCCTGCTAAGGCTTGAAAACTGCTGCTTTGTCTGTTGTGCTTGGACGGTCCATTCCAGTGCTTCCAAGGCAGCCGAACCGAACGACTCCCCCGGCACCACCAGGACATTACGGAGGGTTCTATGACATGGTTCGGTCAATGTTGACTGCGCCAACCAGACCTGTCGGCGAGCATGGACCAAGAAGTGTATCACACTCTCAAGTTCTCTCGTTATCAGCGCAAAGGCCTGAAGTGCTGCATTGCTAAAGTCCATTGCTGCTGTTGCACCGCTAGCGCCCTGAAGGTACGCGGAGAGGGCAAACATGAAGTGCGCCATGGAATTGCCGAGGTGGCCAACACATGCTCCGGCGTAATAAGCTCTGCAGAAGAATTCATCCGTGATGCAACATTGAGCTGGTGGGCACCGAACATCACTGCACGGAGCTTCCTCTGGTGATACGATGAGCGAGTCAACGGCAGTTTTGATCGCCGGCATGCGATTCAAGCCCACTGCGGCCGGCTCATGCATAGACACCAGCACTCTGCCATCCGTGGAGAGGTGTGCAAAGACTTGGATCTCGTAAACAACCATGCAACTCCCTCAGGTACTCCTCCGATGGAGGGATGGAAAAGGGAGGAGGGGCTCACCCGTTCCTGAAGAAGGCACTTCCAAGGGTGGGCTCCTCTGGTTGTGGGACGTCCAGCTGCAGCTGTCTCAGGACCATACGCATGACATCCTGTATTGAGCCATCACTGACCCACTAGCTGCGCTCCGAGACGAAGAAAGTGAACCAGTCTCTTGAGACTTGAGATGACTGCCCCTCCTCCTCACCTAAAAAGTGAGAGGCAGAGGCAGCCAAGAATAGCACATCCTTCTCCACAGCCAGCTCAGGCGTGGGTGGGGAGGAGTGTCCGGTCGCTGCCACTGGCTCAGCCCCCAGTTGGCGTGCCTGAAAAAGGGACTTTATCTCTGCCAATTCTGCAGACAACTGCTCCACCCTTGTGGAGAGGCCATGATCAGACTTGGCTTGCCTCTTCCTAGGAGGGGCCATAGTTCGGCGCTTCAATTGCCTAGGCAGTGACCTGGGCAGGAGGTCACTGCCTAGCTCGGGGTGAAACTGGGCCTTCTGAGCCACCCTCACAGCACAAGGCATGAAGCTGCAGTTCATGGAGGGGTTCTCTTGACAGAGCCTCCATCAGATGGTCATGCCCAAGGCAGGCAGAACACAGGTCGTGACCGTCATCTGCCTGGAGCACGGCCCCACGATCTATGCTGTAGTAAGAGCAGTCCATGCTTCTTACTTTAGGCAGTTTAGCCACGTTAATTAAAGTAAAAAAAACTGCAACTCAACAAAGGGGCTGGCACCACCAGCTACATCCAGGATACAGGACGAAAACAAGGACAAAAGGATAGGCCGAGAATTGGGAGAGGGGGCGCGTATACTTGCCGTCACCAATTAACAAGGCAAAGAAACTCAGACAGGCTAACGCCGCTAGCTCGGCTGGTTAAATAAGGACAATTGGGAGAGGGGGCACGAACGCTTGCCTTCACCAATAAAAAAAACAAGGCCAGAATGTAGGGAGGCTAGTACCACTAGCTCGGTCCAACCATCTATATGAGGTTGGTGAGAACGATTGGGAGAGGGTGCGCAAACTCTTGCCTTCACCAATGAAAACAAGGCCAGGAACTCAGCTGGCTATGTAATTAACAAACTTCGAAACACTATCCAAACCGAACATGCGGTTGGAAGTCTCCAACATATGGGAGTGAGCGAAACATTACCGCTAACCAAAGGCAAAATATAAGTAAAAAGACTACTCACCAGTGTTGAATCACACACACAGTAGTCAGACGCTGCAAGTTGGGAGGGGGGCGAAAGCTGCCGTAGTCCCCAACGAACAGCAGAAATACCTTAAACGAAGGCTAAACCGTCGCAGCCCCTAGGAGTGCAAACACACTACTCCAGCCAATGGGCAGTCGGGCCTCCGATGATGGTGAAAAAGTCCAAAGGGCTGATGCCCTGAATTGAACTGCGCGCGAAAAGAAAAAAGGAGCAGAGCCACGGATGACGTCAGGCTATATAGCCTCTGATTGTTCATCCGTGCCACACCTGTGACTCCACTGGTATTACTTCTCCAACGGCGCATGCGCAAAGGGAACATTCAGTGCTTTCAGCACCGCCCTCTGGTGGTCAGTAGGGATGAAATGTGTAGAACCCAGCAGCGTTTTATAAATGAGGGTAACCCAATGAATTCCACGATGAGTAGGCCATTTACCAAGAGAGTAGAGGTGACTGACATGTTTTGTAACATAATCTGTCATTCCAGATATAGTAGCGGCTTCAGTTTGGCTCAGGAACAAACTAGTTTTAGATCAGACTGATAAAATAGACAAACATACTTATATATGTCGGCGGCCGAGCGGTAGGCTATTATGTTTATTTTTGTTGGACAAAAATGAATTAAATTTAACTAATATCAGCAACGCCACCTAGTTAAACTAGGAATAAGCTTAGGTCCGTATCGCAGGGGTGAGAAGTGTTTCACAAAACCAGCCAGTAGAGATAGACAATAATTTATTACGACCAGGGAAACAAATGCTGCAAGCAGTCCAAATATTAAGAACCAGCCAGTAAGAGCAGTCTGTAAAATCAAAGATCAAAAAGGTGACATGATTATGACAGTCTGAAGAAAAAGAAGCAGTCTTAGCTGAGGGGGGCGTGGTCCTCTCGCCCTCGCACGGCGCTCCCAGGCGTTCCAGAGTCTCGACCTTCAGTGATCTCCCGGCACTCTATCCAGAGTCCAGTGTCCCTCCACGGTCTCAACCTCACCCGGCGCATGTACCTCCTTGAGTCCGGCGTCCCATGGCGACCTCAACCTCCAGCGAGCTCCAATACTCGGTCCTCCGCCCCCGACACCAGACCCGGAAGACTGCACCCTCCAACCGGGCACGATCCACCGTGCAGACCAGCTTAGCTGGTTTCTTGGGTGCATCCTTACCCCTGCTAGTCTCTGATCTTCATCATTGCGCCTTCAATCTCTGCCAACCTGCTGTCCAGATTGTCCCCGCCTCCTGCCCCTCTGCGGTGGTTGTGCATCGGCCATTGCGCTCCCTGTCTGATGCGCCTCCTGCCCCTCTGCGGTAGCTGCGCGCATCTGCCGTTCCATCTCTGCTGCTGCGTTGCACTTCTGCGCATTGTTCTGCGCTTTTTATTTCCCCATTCTTGGCTTTCATGTCATTACAGCTGATGGGGAACACCTGCGCGAGCTGTCAAATGTCTCTGGCCTCATCACAGGTGGCAGTCTCAAAAAAAATGAACAGATCAGCAAGTTTAAACATGCAAATAACACAAAAAGCCACATTACTACACATAACTTGCTGTTTAATCTTTGAGTATCTTGATAAGATAAAAAGGCACTATACAAGTACAGTCAATTTACAATTTATCTTTAAAGTTACAAATCTTTCAAATGTGAAACGTACTCTAAAAAAGACCCAGCAGAAGCTGTAATCTTTCAGCTGCCTCCTTAGATACGAACATACGATCTCCCCGTGATTTGTTAATGAAATGTACTCGGCAAGTGGGGTGTGAAACTCTAAAGTACACTTACACAAAACCCACATGTTAAAGGTTTTGTTAGGGTGGAGGGAAAATACCCTGATCTGAACTATTCTAACCAAATATTTGCACTAGTTGTTAAAGGCAGTTATTGTAAACTATAAAATCAATCTTAAACAAAGGTGATACTGAACTGAATCAAATGGTGCAGTAGTTCTCCAGTTTTATTGCCAAGTATTTCTGAAATATAGGTACACACTCGGCGTCAACAAAGCACTTAGTTGCACACTTGCCCAACAAATTTGAGTGTAAATGCCAGTACACTGAAACTGTCTGTTTGATCTGAACGACTCTTCCAGACGTCTGACACATTTTCTGTCACTTCAGATGTTGCTGTAGGTAAACGAACATGTGGTTTGAGCTGCTCACAAGTTTTTAGTTTAAGGACAGATTAACCATCAATACAAGAAAAATATTTTGTGTTGGTTTTTTTCTTCAATTTTATTTTTTTTACCAATTATGACGTTGCAGTGAGCACCTTTTGAAGTGTCATGTAGATCATAATTATGATGCTCAGCAAACTGTGGAACTGTATTTCTGTACAGTAGTCCCTCACTTATCGCAGGGGTTACATTCCAGACACCCCTGCAATATTTTTATTTTAGTTTTTATATCTATTTTAAGACTTTATAAACCCTGCCCACACTCTTGCAATGTTCTTAACAATGTTCCAAACTCTCTAAAAGTGCATAGCGTGTCATGATCTCTGTTCTCTGCTGCAATCACACTCATGCTCATCACCTGTGTCACTCCCAGTGCCACTCCCAGTCTCCCTCCTGCTGCACCTGTGCGCTGCGCTTCTTAAATGCTCCCCAGTCTCTGCCTCCCTACCAGATTGTCCGATCGCCTCGTGCCTGAAGTATCCAGCATTCTTGTTCCTGCTCTCATTCCTAAAGGCTGTTTGGTTTGCGCTTGATTATTTTAAATAAACGATCCATGCTGCTCGTGCGTCTCACTCAGGTAGGACTAGGGAGACCAGCAGAGCTCCATCTAGTTCGCTCTGAATTTTGTTGTCGGCCACCAACCACAAAAAAACGTCTGCACTTCGGCATTAGACCACGGTGTTGTCATTACTGTTTTTAAAATAGGTCCAGTTGCTGCTCCGACTTCGAACATTGGTAATTGCAAATGGCGGATCTTGTTGATGTGAAAGTTTCTCAACAGCCAGTGACTCGGCCCCCTGACCGATCAGTGACCGACAATGTTCTGACGTCACGTTTTGGTGCCGGCTCGGCTCAGCTGGTACCCCAGAGAAGAAGGGACCAAAAAGGGGTCTCAGTTCCACAAAAAAAATTGCAGTGGAAAAGGGCTCAAAACTACCGAACTGAGCAGAACCGTGCTCAAGAGGAGCTGTGTAAAAGGCCCATTATAAGAGTTACCAGTCAGCCTAACATGCATGTTTCTGGTCTGTGGGAGGAAACCGGAGTACCCGGAGAAAACCCACACATGCACGGAGAGAACATGCAAACTCCACCCAGAAAGGCCCCCAGGTGGGATTTGAACTGGTGACCTTAGCACTGAGAGGCTACCAACTGAGCCACCGTGCCGCTTTAAAAGAAGTATAAAATGTAAAATGAAGATCCCATCCTAACATTTGTTGCACCTGTCTTTAGTGAAAGAGCAGTTCAGGAGCTGCGTCGCCAGGGTTTGTCATTCTCGTCTCTGCAAAGCTCTTCACCGCTCAGCGTTTCCAGCCATTCTCACCACACCCCCACAGAGCGCTCCGTTCTTCAGAGTCACGACCGCTCCACAGACAAGTCCACAGACAAGTCCACAGACAAGTCCACAGACAAGTCCACAGACAAGTAAGGCTCACATCATGACTGTGACTAAAGTTTTGGACTTAATCTAGCTCAAGTGCCATTTTTAGCTCTGGTTTTGTTCAGTGAGCTGAAATTCTTTCTTCTCTTTTACAGGAGTGTCAGCTTCAAGGATTATTGAATAAAAACTGCTGCGCTTGCTGTGAGTCGGACAACACAAAGGATTTAAGTGTGAACTTGAACTGTAAAGACTTCCACAGGCATGGAGCGGCCTGGAACGTGCCTCAGAGTTGTGTCGTCCAGTCGGTGACTCGGGATAAGAAAATAATGCACATCTTCTGTATTATTTGTTGACAACTTTCTCTAACCCTAAACACTGATGCCACAGATCAAATCTTTTGACATTTCTAATGTCACAGCATGAAAAAGATTTGGTATCCAGTATATTTTGTATACAAATATTCATGTTTTTTAATATATTTTAAATTATTTAAAAAATAAAGATAAAAAAAATCTAACTGGACAAGCGTAAATGATAACATCAATATTAGTTTTATTAGAAAAACATAGTAATGGCAATAAAAGGTGGTGTTTTAGCCTAAACCACAGAATACTGAGGTTATTAAACACTAACCTTTTCCCAGGCCTGCAGCACATTAATGATTCCATCATTTATTTATCGTAACTGTTCATATAATGTGGCTTTAAAAAGCCTTTTTTAGTGTTTACAGGTGCTGGTCATAAAATTAGAATATCATGAAAAAGTTTCTTTATGTCAGTAATTCCATTCAAAAGTGAAACTTGTAGATTATATTCATTCATTACACACAGACTGATATATTTTAAATGTTTATTTATTTTAATGTTGATAATTATAACTGACAACTAATGAAAACCCAGTATCTCAGAAAATTAGAATATTAAGACCAATAAATATCCAGGTAGTCTCACTGAGCCATGAGAACTCATTCTCAAGAAAGACCTGTTTAGAAGCAGATGGTGGGGGTTAAGGGCCTTGCTCAGGGGCCCAGAGTGGGGCCAATGAGGGTGGAGGGAGGTGTGGGTGTTTCACCTTATCCACCCACATTTTGATGTTGACGGTACCGGGAGTTGAACCTGCGACTTTCCGATCACAGGCCCATCTTCTCTAACCTCTGTGTCACCACTCCCCCCAGTCGATCAGTCTGTCACTGCTCAGGTGTTCTGAGAGCCCGGGTTGCTCTGATAGTGGCCTTCAGCTCTTCTGAATTGTTGGGTCTGGTGTATCTTCCTGCATCTTCCTCTTCACAATACCTCATAGATTTTCTATGAGGTTAAGGTCAGGAGAGTTTGCTGGCCAATTAACAGGGATACCATGGTCCTTAAAGAACAGGGATACCATGGTCCTTAAACCAGGTACTGGTAGCTTTGACACTGTGTGCAGGTGCCAAGTCCTGTTGGAAAATGAACTCTGCATCGCCATAAAGTTGGTCAGCAGCAGGAAGCATGAAGTCTCTAAAACTTCCTGGTAGATGGCTGCATTGACCTTGGACCTCAGAAAGTACAGTGGACCAACACCAACAGATGACATGGCACCCCAAACCATCACTGACTGTGGAAACTTGACACTGGACCTCAAGCAATGTGGATTCTGTGCCTCTGATCTCTTCCTCCAGACTCTGGGACCTTGATTTCCAAATGAAATGCAAATTTTACTTTCATCAGAGAACAGAACTTTGGACCACTCAGCAGCAGTCCAGTCCTTTTTGTCTCAAGACACTTCTGTCGCTGTCTCTTGTTCAAGAGTGGCTTGACACAAGGAATGCGGCAGCTGAAACCCATGTCTTGCATATGTCTGTGCGTGGTGGTTTGTGAAGCACTGACCCAAGCTGCAGTCCACTATTTGTGAATCTCCCCCACATTTTGGAATGGGTTTTGTTTCACCATCCTCTCCAGGGTGCGTTTATCCTTATTGCTTGTGCACTTTTTTTTTATATACCACATCTTTTGCTTCCCTTCACCTCTCTATTAATGTGCTTGGACACAGAGCTCTGTGAACAGCCAGCCTCTTTAGCGATGACCTTTTGTGTCTTGCCCTCCTTGTGCAGGTGTCAATGGTCGTCTTTTGGACAACTGTCAAGTCAGCAGTCTTCCCCATGTCTGTGTAGCTACAGAACTAGACTGAGACCATTTAAAGGCCTTTGCAAATGTTTTGAGTTAATTGGCTGATCAGAGTGTGGCACCAGGTGTCTTCAATATTGAACCTTTTCAAAATATTCTTATTTTCTGAGATACTGAATTTGGGGTTTTCATTAGTTGTCAGTTATAATCATCAACATATAAACATTTGAAATATATCAGTCTGTGTGTAATGAATTTATATAATATACAAGTTTCACTCTCTGAATGGAATTACTGAAATAAATTAACTTTTTCACTATTTTCCAATTTTATGACCAGCACCTGTATTTTCAAGCTTCAGTGGTTTTGAACTCGTCACCGTGCAGACAATCTGAGGTCAACATGTTTAAGAGCTTTGATAATACTGTTTTCTTTTCTAGAAATAAAAAATAATACAAATAAATCTACAAAAAACTATAAACAACCCCTTTAGTGTCGGCAGTGTTCAGTGGTAGTGTTGGGGAGGGGGTAAGCAAATAGAGAAAAATCTAAAATGTACTTTGGTAAGAGTTCCCTGAGTAGTTTCTGTGGCAGCGTGCACAAATAATAGTGCAACGTTTGTCTCGTGACAGGCTTGTACCACGTCTGCCTGTCTGGGAAGTGAACAAAAGGTGGTGCTTTGATGCTCTGGAGCACGTGCTCTGCGTCCCTTTCCAGGTGCTCGTATGAGCCGATGAAATCGTAAGAAATGGCACACGGCTGGCACAAGTTGTACATGGGCATCCAGTGCTCATTCATGCGCTCCACGTCCTCGTCCAGCAGGTAACGGACAAACTCCCCAAAGGTCACGTCATCTCCCGTCACTGATGGATCCTTAGCTCGGCCCTTTCTGTACCGCTTTATGATCTCCACCCCATACTTTTTCTGGTAGGACTTTATCTCGCCGAACTTGTTCCTGTACGCAGAAAGCAGACGCTCCATGGGCTCCCGCACGAACATGAACTTGAAGTAGTACATGAGTCTGTAACGAATCTCCTCCGGCTTCAGAGAGGACAGGAAGAGCAGATCGCTGTGGTGATCCATTTTGATGCTGACGTCCACGCTCTCCAGGGCTCCCCCCAGAACCTTCAGAACCCTCTTCCAGTTGGAGCAGGCCACTTTGGGGACGTAGCAGTAGAGGAAGCGGTACTTGTCGTTCACCAGGACGTGCTGAAACAGCGTCTTCCTCTGCAGGGGGCTCAGGGACCAGATGCTGTGGGGCATGTTCCTCTGGCTGCACATGGCCCTGATGGTCCGGTTGCGGATCTCCTGGAGGATCTAAATGTAAACAAAAACCAATATCGTAAACAAGTAATCCACAATAGTCTTACAGTCTGATGTTGTCGGAATAGTTGAGAAGTGTTTGTTGACTGGGCCAAGGAGTGGGGCTTTGTTGGCTTCTGCCAGGAGCTGTGCCAAAACCCTGATGATGCCATATTAGCAGACATGAGATCATTGGGCAGGAAGCAGGACTCGGCTCCTTTGAACCCGTGAAAGATCTTTATTTGCATCCAGAGACGTTCAGCATGGTCGATTCTCACGCCCACCCTGAATCAACCAACTGTCCACAGGACCTGATGTAACTTTGTTGGATTTTTTTACCTGGATTATTGAGGATGAACTTTCAAGTAATCCACAAGTTTTACTTATCAATATTAATGTAAGCCATGGTTTTTAGTTTGGCCCTTATTCACCACTCAAAAGAACAATACAGTACCATCCAACTGAGGAGATTTTAGTTGTTACTTCAGTACAATAAAGTTGTTAAACTGCTGGTAGAGGGCAGGGAGGGTGACTGGAGAAAAAGCAAACATTAGGTTCTATTTTAAGAAGCACTTTTACTAGAAGCTGCAAAGTAACTCAGCCTAAATGTGACCTGATCCACAACTAAGCCCCGGGGGAATATGTCTGCCATGTTTATACGCTAAACCTTAAGTGGAGGGGATTGTACTGAAAGTTCTTTTTCTTCTTCTTCTTTCGGCTGCTCCTTCTTCAGGGTCACAACAGTGAACTGAGTCGCACGAAGACTTGTAATTGTTTTTACGCCGGATGTTCTTCCTGACGACCACAGACACTGATCTACCACAGCTCTGTGTGTGGGGCAGAGAGCTGCTGTCTGGGGTGCCCAGGGGGCAGATGGTGGGGGTTAGGGACCTTGCTCAAGGGCCCAGAGTGGGGAAAATGAGGGTGGAGACGGGTGTGGGTGCTTCACCTACTCCACCCACATTTTGATGTTGTCGGTACCAGGAGTTGAACCAGGCTCACCTTCTCTAACCTCTGCACCACCACTCCCAACTAATAAATGTTTAATAATGTTCATTAAATATCAAAGCTTATTTTCACATCTGAAGTCTGACTGTACTTGTATAGCATCTTTATCTCATCACTCAGAGCTCTTTACAACAACCTGTGCCTCATCTACCCATTCATACAGCACTCTACTGGACGAGTACAGTATCAGTACTTTGTCACATTCATACAGGACTACTGGACGAGTACAGTATCAGTACTTTGTCAC